GCCCTTGGCCTCTCCCTGGACTATAAACTACCTGAGAGGAAGGACATCCTAGGCCTTTCAGTATCTCAGAACTTCACAGGTTTCATGAGATTAAGGGCAGTATTCCAAAAGGGTCCCCATGTTGAGCCTTCACAGCAGTGTCTGGTCACACCGCAGATACCTCCAACTGTAATCATCACGATACCCACAGGCCAGAGATGCCCAAATCTTTTTCTGTGGCAAGGATGCTGTACACAACGTCCCAGGATGTAGTGCATTTCTGACCCCTTGGCCCACTTGTCAACAGTAGAATCTCCACCAGACCCGTGACAACCACAGAATGTTCCCAGACATTGCGAGAGTCTCTGGAGTGGGGGCAGGTTTGTCCTGGCTGAAAACACTGCAGGACAGGGATAACTGCTTGATCCCATTTGTCAGACTGGGAATCAGAGACTCAAAAGCTCTGGGCCAGGCATGGTGGCACACACCTTTAATTCTAGCCCTCAAGAGGCTGAGGCAGGAAGATAGCCAAAAGTTTGAGGTCAGCCCGGGTTACAAAGACCAACTACATCAGGCATGGTGGCACATGTCTGTAATTCTAGTGCTCAGGAAGCTGAGATGGGAGGATTGCCAGAAGGCCAGCCTGGGCCACATGGTAAGTTCAAGGCCAGCCTCAACTACATGGCAAGATGCTGTCTCAAAACAAAAACAAAAAAGACCAACTACATCATTAGACCATCTCAAAAACAGGTCAAGAGCTCTGAACAGAGTTTCACGGCTTAGCAAACTGGCTCTGGACACGAGGCTTCACAGCACTGCCCGCTCACCCTGACCAACATCCCATGCAAAGGCATCAGGAAGTTCCCCAGGTCTCCAAGGATACCGAGACTTCTGCTAAAGCAGGGTGAGCAAGGGTAATGGCAGCCACACAAAGAGTACAGTCTGACACAGCCAGAGGGTTCCCAGGAAACAAATGCAGGGAGGCAAGGGCCACTATTACAGGCTTCAGATAATGGGAATGGGCGTTTCCTGCACAGGAACGGGTGAGGACAGCCTCCAATTTGGGAGAAGTTCAAGCACAGAGCTATGCTCAAAGCCATCCAGGAGAGGGAGCAGGGTGACAAGGACAGGATGGCTCCAATGTCCTAGGCACAGCTCAGGTGTCTCCCCTGGGCCTGGCAGGTTCCCTCCTCAGTCACTGGCTCTGGCTATGAGCTCCAAACTCTAGTGTCAGACCTCCCCCTGCAATCCCCAGCCTTTCTGAACCCCCACCTCTGGGCCAACCCTCAGTCTAACCTGCTAATCTGCCCTCCCAAAACCCAGATCTCTCTGAAGCCCAGATTAAGTGCCTGCTGAGGCTCCCCACTGTCCAGCCAGGGGACAGGATTTTTAAAAGACCCTGGATGTAGGCCAAGGGGTCTGAACTTTCATCTGGGGGTGTTCGGGAGTTCCAGAAAGCCAAGGCAGGGCTTCTTTCCTGTGGGCAGGGTAGCACTAAGAATGTGTCTCCACAGGAGGGTCATCCCTCACTCCTTCCCTCAAGAAGACAAAACGTTTCAGGCGCTTAGTGGGAGCCTGGCACACACTCAACAAAAGCTTTGAATGTGCTCAGTGCCCCTCCCCCGCTCATCTCTTTATTATTCTGTCCAAGGCTCTCCCGGAAGCCTTCCCTGACCACCCAACCGAAATCTCTCCACCCCTCCTGGCTCCCTGTGTCTTCCTCTTGTTATGCTACCTTATTTTCACAGAGGGCCACCTGGAACTCTCTAGACTGGTTCCTTGTCTGAGACTGGTCACCTGCAACAGAGCCCAACTCACTAGAGAGCTAGCTGGCTGCTCCCTCAGCTCCCGGCAGGAATCAGTACACAATGGTGAAACTGTCCTCTTGGAGTAGTACATGGAACACACTTGCCCCGCTGTTTCTATACCCCAAGTTGTTAATACCAGTACCTTCTCCTCTAGTTTCAGGCAAAGGCCCTGCCTGACACCCTCCTCAGCAATCAGGCCCAAGACCTACCCATCTCTGACTCTGTTTCAAACTGGGACTAGAGATCCCAACCCTAACCAGGCAGGAAGTAAGGTGTTAACACCTAGAAGGCACAGACAGTGGGGTAAAAGGTGGATGGAACAGGTGCAAAGGCCCTGAGGTGACACCAGAGGAGGCTGGTCCTAAAAGGACAGGACTCAGTGAGAAGTGCACTCAGATCATCCGGAAGTGCTGGCTGCCCCAACACAGAACAGAAAGCTGTTTCCCATGAGGCAGGCAGCCCAGCTCTTGCACCCCTCCCAGAATGTGTGGCCAGCCAGGGCAGGGAGAAGGACTCAAGCTGAGTGGTAGGGATGCTTGGAACTACAGGGGCCTGGTGACACAAAGGAATCAGGATAAGTCATCATTAGACTCAGAAGAACCAGTTGATAACACTCAACTCTGCAGTTTGAGGCTCCTCCTGGGACCAAGGGTCCCAAAGCCAAGTCCCTGACACCCTGGTAACAGGCAGCAGTTAGTCCACCAAGGAGGAACAACACCTGGGGCAGTTTGGCAAGGAACCCAAGTGGGGAAAACACAGCCTAGGCACGAAAAGCAAAACCCCACTTCAGAGCCAGCAATATCCTGTGTCCCCATTACCGGGATCCCTGACCTCGGGGCTAACAAAAAAGAACGGGGGCGGGGGTGTGTGGCCAATCTGAAAATAAACTTCCAGGGCCAGGGATTCAGTTCAGTGGTTCTGCCTGCCTTGGAAGCGCAAGGTCCCGATTTCGATCCCCGGTCCCCCCATCCAAAAAAAAAAAGTTCTGTGCTCCTAAGACCGGAGTTCAGTATGAAAATAAGCTTCCCCTGTTCCAGCACCTTGGGACTGAGCCACTACTCACTAGGGACAGGAGAAAGGCCAGGGTGGAAAGCAGAGAGTTCCTCCACTTCACGCCCTGACAGGGCAATTTGGGCACCTACGGGACTGAACTGACCAATCCCAGATGGGACAATCTTTAGCATGACTTAAGGCGGGTCACACACCCCGTTTCTCCCTCTGGACCACAGAGAGAACTTAAGACCCGGTGGCAATAAGCAAACTGCGGGCTGAACCCTGGGCCAAGTCCAGGAGGAGTCCAAGGGGACCAGGAGTCTCCAAGGCCTCTGCCAGAGTTTAAGTACCCGATTTCATCACCTTACCCTTCACTTTGTGACCTGCCTTCACCCCATCAACAGTCTCCAAGATACAACCAACAAACTTTAGTCGTTCACCTCCCCAATTTTTCACCTTTGAGGAGGTGAGGCACAAATCTCAGGCTCAGGGGTTGAGTACAAGAGAAGGCCTAGCATAGGACAGGGGTTGTAAGTTTCTATTCCCTAGGCTCCGGTCCCAAAGAATTAAAGATCCCCCCAAGGCACCTAAGTGTGCAGCATCAGAGGCCACCTCCCTGCAGGCCATCCGGGTGGGGGCGGGGCAGGCGAGGACCACCTACGTGGTAAACACGATGCCCGCGCAGGCGTTCCATTCCAGACCCTGTCTGCTGCAGCCCCACACCAACACCCACCCGGTGGCCTGCGCTTCAGAGCAGCTGGCAAGCCTTCAGGGTCGAGGTGTAGGAAAAAGAGAGGTAACCCCTCGGTCCGACTCTGAGCACACACTGGCAGGGTTCATGGGGGTACAGTTTGCCATATCCCTCCTGGTCATACTCATTTTTCCTGACCTGCTCCGACATCCCGACCAGCCTAGACCAAAGCTCTGCTTCCCTGTAGTTCCTAAATTCCTACTGCCGTCCCTCCCCTTACCTGACAACCCCCAGGACCTGGGCGCCTCTTAGATCCCTGACCTCGTGTGACCCACCACCCCACTCCCTCGCAAACACTCCTTGGAATCT